TTATTTATGAAACAATGATATTAAAATTAATGTCAATTTTTATATTATTATATATAAATTTATATAGAAAATGTGCCTCTAAGGCTAAGGATTAAAAAACACTTATAAAAAGTGAGAGATGATCCTCCACCATAATGAGAGATCATATTCCTCGATACCCTTACTCCAGACATGACTCGCCCTTTCTTTGGAAATGGAGAGAACTCTCACCAGAGTTTCTTTGAAATTTTTAAGAAAGTTTAGGGAAGAAAGGCAAAATCAACCAAGAGACTAGCCACAGCACTTCCAGGGGAACTCTGCCACCAATTTTCACTAGTTGAGCTCAAAGCTGCTACTTACAACTTCCACGAAAGCTTGGGGCTTGGTGAAGGTGTTGGAGAAATAGGGGGTTAGAAAAGAGATCATTAGATCATTGACTTCAAGGCATGCTGCAAATGCCACTTTTTTTTAGGTTAATTTCACCCTCACCAGAACTGGTATGCAAAAGGGATAGCCCAAAATGCCTATAGAATACAATGAAGCACCTTATTGATCTAGTCTTTGCACTAGCAAAATCAACCATTGAACCATCCTTTTAAAAGAGACAAAACAATAGTTTTTGTACAGGGATTTCTCGAGCAATCGAAATACAAAAAGAGGCTATTTTATTGAGATATTTTTTGGGTTCAAAAAGACTTTTAAAATGAAGAAGAGATAACTCCATATTTATAGGGTAAGATGTTTGTTGGAACAAACACTTCTTTTTAAGATGTCAGTTGGAAACAAACACTTCTTTTCAATTTTTATCCATTGGAAACTTTTTCAAAAGTCATTTGGTTTGATTTGAATTCCAACTCACGTGTTTCCTTGCCTTCCAAAGTTATCCACTCTCTTCAGAAACTTATCAGAAATCTATCTCTTATTTCTGACATAAATGGTTTAAACCACATTTATATGATTCGAACCAAAATTGTAACTTTTCAGATTCTGGTTTTACGTAAATGGTTCGAACCATAATTATATGATTTGAACCAAAGTTACAGTTTTTCAAATGCATTTTGTGCAATTGCTTCGAACCAACTTTCTGTGATTCGAACCCAAATCCTAGAAATATTTTGAAAATTCTTCAACATTCCCCCACCATTTTCAAAATAGAATAGCTCACTAATTGTATTGGAAATCTTATGCATACATGAAGGTATCTTATGATTTGAACCTTTCACTTAGTGAACATGTGTTGGCAAGTTAGTTAGAATTGAATGGTAGACCAATGCTTTGAACCAACGATTCTAAGTGACTAATTGGGCACATATCACACATAAGACTTCAAAGTTTCCAAAGAAAGAATTCAGCATCCATCGACACAAAAACTAGCCATGTGTCCTATATCCTTTTCATGAGTGCTGTTAGAGTCAAGTCCCCAACTCCTAAAAGCGACACCACTTCCACTCATATAGGTAGATCCCATCAAAATTGCCATCGCATTAAGCACTTTAACATAAATCTATTATGGGACCTATTAAGAGTAAAACTCAACCTCCTCTTTATTTCATACGGTTACCAAGTACTCTTCCACTTGGGATGGTATTATTAATAAATTGCGTACTTGCAGTCACATTCATATGATGTACTTTACTCATTGAACTTAAGACTTGAAGTTTTTATCAAGCGTTAAGTCGAGGTTCCATCATGTGTGACTTGTATCAATGGACTTGAGACCCATCCCTCTTTTTGTCTTGTAAATTTTCCTTTGATAATCCTTTTAATCAAGGGTTCATGAAGTTAATTCACACAAGACATTGCTAAGATTATGGTGATGACATCATCTATGAATTGATTATTTCCATGTCTACATTTTATGACAACAAGTCTACTGTCATATAGACTTCTTTGTAAGCACTTGATGACATCCTATTATTTTTAGTCATCATACACATTCATATAAGAATGTTTTAGAATAATCTGAACTCTTGAAAAGTGTTGACATCTCCAAGAACAAGTGTTATCACTTTTAAATAGTGCCATAAAACTTTGTAATATCATGAACAAAGTGGAATTCTTGCTTCCTCCACTTCAAATTAAATTTTATTTGCTTTTCATGTGTTAAGGACTTTTAGTCCTTATTCCTCTCACTCTTGGGATTGTGTTGTTCCTATGATTTTGATAATTACAAAACAGATTTGAGTGACTAATTGGTTCATTTAAGTATATAGTTAAAATATCAAAAGATTGCAAAGTAAGTAAACTTGGACTGCACTAAAAATAGACCAAAAGGCTTGAAAATGTGCAGAGAGCCAGCTATTGAAACTTGCAACCGGCTTTGGAAGCTGCAGCCGGCTCTATGGGTAAAAACTTAATAGTCAGTTGTTTGGCGCGCATGGAGAAAAGATGCAAAGCTGGCTCCAACTTTGCAGCCGGTTGTGAGGGTGTATTTAATGCTTCGAGTTATTTGAAGATTATTTAATGTGTTTAAAGTTGGAATCCCAAAGCCGGCTTTATGATTTGCAGCCGGCTGTGTAAGAAAACAGAATGTGCAGGAAACCCACAAAGCCGGCTGCAGAATTTTTAAGTTGACTCTATGGAGAAAACAAAATGTAGGAAACCTGCAGAGCCGACTGCAGAAAAGTTATGCCGGCTATGCAGAGCCAGATCTAAAAGTGTAAACCGACTGTGCTGACAATTTTGCAACTCGAATTAAGCGACCTGCAGAGCATTAAATGACCCTTAACGGCTAGTAACGGCTATTTTCGACCATGGGGTTATAAATATGGTTGGTAGAAGATCTGAAGTAAGTTTAGAGAGCATTGTATTGAATATCTTTATCCACAAACTTGTGCTTTAACTTGAGATTTTGATCTTTGAGAGATCTTTATTTGTAATCCTCTTCTTGTTCTATTTGTGAGTAATCTTGGGGGTGTGATTATTCCTTCAAGAGTGATATGTAGAGAGGATTGTTTGGGTTTATCTTGTAAAGGGGTGAGATTTGAGAGAAACACCATTCTTCTTGTAAAAGGATTGAGTGGCTCCTTTAAGCCACCCTTGATTTTGTTAGTGGAGAACATAGAGGAAATCCTTGGTGAGTGAAGCCAAGGTAGAAGACTAGGTTCCAAGTGGTTGGCCTAAACCTCTATAAAATCATTGTGGAAGCTCTTCTTCCCTACTCTCTCTTTGATTTTTGTTTGGTGGTTGCAAAATAGTGAAAAATTTTCAACTCCAATTCACCCCCCTCTTAGAGAACATTGAGTCAACAGATTATTCCCACCATTTCAAATATTGTTTTGTCAATTTATATTCTTCATGAGAGATAGATCAAGATAAATTTTGTTTTATCAAAAATGTTTCAAACCATATAAATATAATTCAAACCAAGTTCTTGATACTTTTTGAGTTTCCTATGTAATTGGTTCGAATCAGCTTTAAGTGATTTGAACCAAAATTCTGGAACAACTCAAATCATTAAATTTATTTTCCATGACCAAGAACTATTCACTCTTGCTATGTACAGGATTCTTTAAATCCATATTTCTTTGTCTTTTGAACCATTTTTCCAAGCTTCCAAAAAATGAATCAAGTGCACAAGGTTGCACTAGTTTCTACAAATTATCTCATTAAGAGATAACATCTAAACAAGGATTCAAAATCCTTCATGCCTTATCAAAACTGAGAGCCTTTTTACTTGGCCTCTCTTCTCTTAATTTATATTAAAACTAAGATCATTCGTTGGATCTCCAAATGGGTTTGCCAAATCCCATTTCAATATTTCTTTCTTTAACATGGCAAAGTAGCCATCATGAGACTTGATTCTCACTTGTTTCAATTTACATATATTGATATATAATCTTACAAGCATAAATAAGAGGCATCAAAAGTAACAAGTAGACATATTCTTTAAGCAACCTTTCATTAATAAGATTTAGCCCCTTATATTTTCACAAGCCTCATATTAAAAATAGTAAGCATGTTTAACACATGTACAAAAGTCAATGATTTTAACTAAAACTGTCATATACATAAACATGCTTATAACATAATCCAAGTAAAGAAAATCTCATTGACTCTAATAAGCCTTAAGCGAATCTTAATAAGATCATGTCCAGAAATAAGATATACTACTTAAACTCCATAAAGCTTCATAAGTATTCACCACAAAACAGTAAATAATCATTACTAAATGAAAAGAAAAACAGAACTTCATTTGTATCACATTAGTAATCTCAAAATCAAGGCACAATCATGATCTCAAAACATGATCATATTCAAATTCATAAATATCTTCCTTCTCACAACCAAGAACCATGATATCAAGTCTGAGATTAATTTAATCTCCAAATGGGATTTAAAGACCCATTTTATTTCTCTTGTCTCATTGTACCAAGTGACTTTTAATTATGAATCTTTACACTGGCATTTGCATCTTTGATAACTTCTTTGAAGCCATTCTCTAGGAGATGTTTTCTCCTCGTATATAATTGATTAAACATTAACAAGAGAACTATCACCCATGCATGAACAGCCCATGATATAAATGGTGCATGTGCCAAAACTCAGAAAAATTCATGATTTAAGAAACTACAATATCAATTTCTTACTAAATTCAAAATGTATTATTTTATTCTATCATTTTATTGGTTTTTGTACCTATTTCAATATTGCAGTGAATCTAGATTCATCAATGTTTCATATCCTCTCCAGACTTGGAAATTTCAATTGCTTCCTTCATGAACAAAATCATGTCTCCATTGTTTCATCTTTCATGAAAATAGATTTCCTTTGCTTTATTGTGAAATGTCCAGCAACCATTGCCTCATCTATGATTGATCACCATTTTGATGGTCATTGAATCACCATTTTTGCACACAATTTAAAGCATTAGAAATCCATTTTGTTTTCCCACTGTTGCATGCCATATCTCCTTGGCTTCACATGCGTTTTAATGCAAGTTTCTTCTCAATTATCCAGTAATCCATGATCTCAAAAAACTCAAAAAATTTTCCTAAAGATTGTTGGAGAAATAGGGGCTTAGAAAAAAGATCATTAGATCATTGGCTTCAAGGTGTGCTGCAAATGCCACTTTCCTTTAGGTTAATTTCGCCCCCACCAAATTTGGTATGTAAAAGGGATAACTTGAAATGCCTATAGAATATAGAATACAATGAAGCGCCTTGTTGATCTAGCCTTTGTAGTAGCAAGAGCAACCACTGAACCATCCTTCGGAATGCGACAAAACAATAGTTTTTATATAAGGATTTCTTGAGCAATCGCAATTTTTTATTTAAATATTTTTGGATTCAAAAAGACATTTTTAAAAGAGGAAGAGATAATTCCATATTTATAGGGCAAGATGCCTGTTGGAACAGATACTTCTTTTCAAGATGTCTGTTGGAATAGACACTTCTTTTCAAGATATATGTTGGAAACAAACACTTCTATTCAATTTTTATCTGTTTTCCAAAAGTCATTTGGTTTGATTTGAATTCTAATTCACGTGTTTCCTTACCTTCCAAAGTTATCCACTCTTTTCAGAAACTTATCAGAAGTCTATCTCTTATTTTTGACGTAAATGGTTTAAACCACATTTATATGATTCGAACCAAAATCGTAATTTTTCGGATTTTGGTTTTACGTAAATGATTCGAATCATAATTATATGATTCGAACCAAAGTTACAGTTTTTCCAATGCATTATGTGCAATTGCTTCAAACCAACTTTTTGTGATTCAAACCCAAATCCTGGAAATATTTTGAAAATTCTTCAATAGAAGGTGGGTCTGGCATTGCATACAAAGGGTTCATAGGTAATGGGGCTTTGACTATTCCTGTCAGACTCATAATTTTGGTGGTGGACCTAGTCAATTCCCAACTGACATACAGTTGCTGAGCCAACTGCACCACCAACATCTTGTTCTCTGATTGGTTTCGCAATGAGGGAAATGAAAGAATCCTAGTGCATGAATATATGAAGCATGGGACATTGCGTGATTATCTCCAAGGTCGAGGACATGATCCATTCTCATGAAAGCAGAGGTTGTTGATATGCAAAAGGGCGACGCAGGGATAACACCACCTTCACTACTAAAAAACCATTTTTCAGCAACATGGGAGCACATCGGTGAAAGTGCATCCCATGTTGCTGAAAGTCTTCTAGCAACAAGATGCATGTTGCTGATGTCTTTGTTGGAGATACTATGCTCGCTGATACATCAGCAACAAGGTTCACGTCGATGATTCCTTGGACCTTTTTCAACAACATGCATTATGATGCTGAAAGTGAAGTTTCACCAACGTAGTCTATCTTGCTAAAAAATTTACCGGAGCCGGCAACCAGAGTTGTGCAACCTTTTCAGCAACATGAAGTATGTCAGTGAAAGTTTATTATCACCGACATGGTTTATGTTGCTAAAAATGGTCATCAAAATTGTCTACCGGAGTTGTGCACCCTTTTTAGCAACGTGGGCCTTGTTGCTGATACTTCTATGAATAGTAAATCAACTTACTTTTAGCAACAAGACTCTTGTTGCTGATAATTTATGAAATAGTCAACCCAAGATGTTTCAGCAACAAGAGTCTTGTTGCTGATAATTAAATGAATAGTACCCTAACTTATTTTTAGCAACAAGAGTCTTGTTGCTGATGACTCCGTGAATAGTGTTGTGGAGATTCATTCACCTTGACTATCACCGACATGTTCCATGTTGGTGATAGTCCAATGCCAAATTGACTGCTTTTTTCGTTGAGAAGTGGGTTTGTTATTATTTTTTCTTAAGTTTTCATTGATAGTCCAATTCAGAAATTTTTTCTATTAATTAATATTATAAGTACATTTTCTTAATTTTAATTTTATTTATAAATAATTTAAATAAATTAATTTTATATTATCATTATAAAATTTAATTATGAAATTCATTTTTGTA